CCCCAGGACGGCTCGATGCTAACCTTTGAGGACGCTCAGTTCATGGGCATGCAGGCTCCCCCATCATGACGAAGCTCACCACGCTGCAGTTCTCGGGCCGTCCTCGGACCCTTCCCTCGGACTCGCTCTCTAGGCCATCATGACGAAGCTCACCACGCTGCAGTTCTCGGACCGTCCTCGGACCCTTCCCTCGGACTCGCTCTCTAGGCCATCATGACGAAGCTCACCACGCTGCAGTTCGCGACGGTGCAGCATCAGGCGCGTCGCAGCACCGCGCCGCTAGCACCGAGGAGGCGACACACCGCAACGATACCCACGCGGGAGGCGCGACAGAGGGTGAGAGGGTGAGAGGCGGGGGGGGGGGGGGAGGGGGGGGACCAAGCGGTGGGAGGGGAGGGGCGCAAGACAGCCGTCGTGCTCATCTCGCCACACGCCCCCGATGGGCCCCTGAACACGCGAAACGTCCGCCTCGGGGGAGCATATACTGCGCGAGATGCCATCTCGGGTCATCTCGGGCCATCTCGGCGGATCTCGGGTGATCTCGGGCCATCTCGGAGGATCTCGGGTGATCTCGGCGGATCTAGGGTGATCTCGGCGGATCTCGGGGCCTCAGGTGACAACGTGCGACGCGCAGCCGACGCCGGGTGGCGGGATCCTGTGCTTCATCACGGGCAAACTGGCGCGAGATCTGGCCGAGATCTGGCCGAGATCTAGCCGAGTCCTCTGCCTCATTACGGGCGAGCTGGTCCGACGCCACCCTCCTTTCCCTCGCCGCCCCACCCTCCTTGCCGTCGCCGCCACCCCTCCTTTCCCTCGCCCTCGCCGCCGCACCCCCCCCCCCTCTGGCTCGCCCTCGCCTCAACCTGCCTCCACCACCCGCCTCGGCCGGGCGGGCGCGGGTGCGGGGCAGCGTTTGCGCGCCGCCTCCCCGGCGGCCGGCCACAGCAGCGGTATGCAGGAGTCGCTGACTGCCACTGTGTCGATCGCAGGTGGTGGACGGCGGCGCGAACCCGCTGATGTTTGGGCAGACGTTCCACCTGATGCCGACGCCGCAGGGCTCGTGGTACATCCACAACGACCTGTTCCGACTCAACTACACGTAGCCGTGCCCGGCGCCACGGCGCCACGGCGGCGAGGAGGAGAGGGGGCGTTGAGGGCCGCGTCGGGCGGCGTGCGCTGCGGCGTCGTGCGGCAGAGCTCGGCGGGCGGCGCACGAGAGAGGAGAGGAGAGGCCAGGCCTAGGTAGTGACCAGAGCGCGCGAGACCCGCGGATCTTTGTTTATTCGTTTTTGTACGTGTAGTTTGCAAAGACCCGACCGCATTTGCAGGACGATCATCACCGATCAATACGAAAAAAATTGAGCGGCGTTGGGGAGAGGTTGCTCCCGTCAGGGGCGGGGAACCCGCAATTTGAGATGCTGAGGGCATTTTGAGTTGCAAAAAATCAATTTAGATTGCATTTTTCAACTCAGAATGCCGAGTTGACTTTTCGCATTTCAAGATGCACACCGCATTCCAAAGATGGTCCACGCATTCCAGGATGCGTCGACCATCCTGGAATGCGAACTGCATTCGTGAATGCGCTAGCATCTGGAGTTACCCCTTTGCATTCTAGGATGCTCCTTGCTAATTCAAGTTGCCTTCCTTAACCTGAGATGCCCAGCATTTTGGCCAATGCCGCATGTCGGCGGGGCATCGGGTAGGCTGCGGCTCGGCCTGCGCCTCGGCAGTCGTTGCCGCTGCGCAGCTGGATATGGTGGCGCACGTGGCGTGGCCTGTCGTTTGCATGTTTTGCGGTGGCAGCCCATAACCGCACGAATTGTGCATGGCCCTCAGCAATCCGTGTTCGATCGGCAACGCCCGTGCCGCTGCTCTGTGTCTCGTTAGAATAGGCAATGAAAAACGGCGCCCGCTCTCGTCGCATGTGCGCCGGTTGACATATCAGTGTATGTGGCTCTTTTATGGATAACAAGGAGTCTCGTTTTCAACTTTTTCTTCTTGTATATGAGCCCGCAGCCCCCAGCCCGCGGCTTCCTCGCGCGTTTCGCGCTCCTTAACGGTCTCTCTCTCTCTCGCCAGCCCTCAACTGTTCAGTAGAATTTGCTGCAACTGGGCAGATTCATGTGGTATCATGCTGTCCTCATCAGGTGTCTGTGCCGCAGTGTAGGCGAGACTCTAATCTCTATGCCTCGGCACCCCATCGAGGCAGCTCGCGAGGTGAAGCTTGCCAGCAAGGGTATTGTTGCCTACACCAGCAGGCAAGGGAGCACTATGGTGTGAGCCTGCCAGCACTGGTGCGCAAGCCAGATCAGTACAGTCGTACCGGGCAGCAATGAAGCGCGTTGGGTGCCCGCGCCGGATGCAGTGCTAACGCGGCAAGCTTGGGCCGCATCAGCAGATGCGTGAGGCGGTGCGGAAACCGTTGTTTCAAGGCCACCTGGTAGGCTCACTCCTTCCCATCCCAGAGGTAGAGGGCAAGGAAGGTAGTCGATACCCTCGCCACAGATGGACATTTTCATTCAGTGTTATGTGCTACTTTCAGATACGTAGGAGGACTCTGCTGACGGGGTATTTTAAAGCCCAAGAAAGAAAGAAGCAGGATTGTAACGCCCTCCCCACGCACATTGTTTTCCGCACTTTCCGCATATTCCGCAACGCGGAATAGTAAACGGCAATTTGGGCAATTGTCGGAGTCTCCCATTCTGGTAGCGTCAAAGCGCAGCTCCTCGTACGCACGCCGGCGAAGCACCATTAAGCTGCTGTAACGGCCCCGGCATCGCCTCCCCTGGCTTAGCTAGACTGAGAGATATTGTGCACATGGTCTGTCTCTACAATGTATACACTGACACTTTACCTCCCAGAGCTCGTCCCGGTCCGCCATGGCCATCCTCTCGGCCTCCGGAGGGCGCGAGGGCCCCCGGCCGCGGCGCGGTGCGGCGGCGTCACAAATGTCAAATCCGACGGCAGAGCACCGGGACGCGGGCGAGTGATCTGAGGTCCAACTAGGCTTATGCATTGCTCATCCAGGGCTATCACCTGGACCTATCAGCAGGCGCCTGCGGCGCCGTGGTCACTAGCTGATAGGTAGGTAGGTAGAAAGGTGAAGAACAGCCAGGCTCGGACTGGACACCAACTAGCTGATATTGTTCACACCTGCCAAACCATTCATACAGCACCGTACTCTGCTGGAGGAATGGTTGGGCAAGTTACTCAGGACATGATCCCCGCGTGAACACGCCGATCTGACAAAATCCCGAGTGCCTACCGCACGCGCCGCGTCGCGGCGCGTGCGGTAGGCTTTGTTTGAAGTTAAAAGTCGAATCAGAGCGGTGTCGGCGTTGTCCTGAGTTTTCTCCCCCGGACCGCCCAACCGGGACCGCTCCGGGACGCACGCCGGCGAAGCTCCATCAAGCTGCTGTACGGCCCCGGAATCGCCTCACCTGGCTTAGCTAGACTGAGAGATATTGTGCACATGGGCAGTCTCTACAATGTATACACTGACACTGAACCTCCCAGAGCTCGTCCCGGTCCGCCACGGCCATCCTCGGCCTCCGGAGGGCCCCCGGCCGCGGCGCGGTGCGGCGGCGTCACAAATCCGACCACAGAGCACCGGGGACGCGGTCGGGCGATCTGAGGCCCAACTAGGCG